TGACATTGTTGCTCTTGTGCGGCCGGCCAATCCGCGCACAGAACCGGTTCCGGTCCATGTGGTAGGTGATGCGCTGGGGATAGTCGATGTGCATTTGCCAGGACCGAATTTCGCCTTGGACGCCGCCGGCAATGGCTTGGCCTCGGACGAACGCGTCGAGGGCAGGCCACGGCGACGGCCCGTACTTGTACTCGGTCGGCGCCGAGCTTTTCGCCCGCGCGACGCTGCCTCGGCCGGTGTGGCGGCTCGTCGTCGGCGGATCGCACTGGAGCAGGCGCGCGCCGATGGCCGATGTCGGGCAAATGTACGAGGCCTCGAGAAAAGCCGCGTCCGGTACCTCGCCGGCCTCTTCGCATCGCGTGAGCACGCGGTCCGAGCCATACTTGGACGAGAGCCAGAGCCGGAACGCTCGGTTCCTAGCCTCCGCGTCAGTTGCATCGCACGCGACCGATGACGCACCGTGTGTAGACACCCGTGTCGATGAAAAGTTGTTTGGTGCCGTCCTTCTTCAGCACGTAGAACGGGTGCGACTCGTCCGAGAGGTACGTTTCGAGCATACGCTTGATAAACTAGACCACGTGGCGTCAATATATCCTGCTCGTCAATAATAGCATCGTACGTGGCCCGCATGAATATTGTTTTGGAAGAGCACGCTTTGGCCCGAATTGTCTTTGGGTGCGACGACCCAGTGGCGACTGAATTTGGCGGCCGACGACGACGCGAGGTCGACGATCGCATCGCGCTCGAGCCGCAGACCATAGTCTCGCTAGTCAAGGACACCTTGAACACAACGTGGTTGTAAAGACAACGTACGTAGAAGGCAAGTGCGAGCAGACGAAACAACGAGTCGAGGAGCGCGTCCGGCGCCGTCACAGTCGGGTTGTACGCCTTTGTGAATTCTACACGTGTCGATTTAGTACCGAGCAGAGCAGGTTTAGAGCGTACCAAGGTCAAAGTAGAGACGACACGGGTGGTTTTCTTGGATGATCTCGTACACGTGTCGGTGGTGCGGCGCTGTCGCGAGGTACTTCTCGCAGAAGAGTGCGGCGTCGGCGACGAGGAACCGGCGGCTTCCCGGCGTCTCGTACGAGTACAGCCGCGCCTAAATCGCATGTATAAAGGCATGTCGTGAGGTCGATGGTACGGTCGTGGTCGGGTGCGTGGCTCGGCAGGCGGCGAGAAACGCCATCGCGGGCTGCTGCAAGGCGAACGCCATGTAGGGTCGCGCGATGCCGTCGATCTGGCACTGCATCGAGTGCTCGATCCGGTACTCGAGCTCTCGCCCAAACGCATCGCCGAGCTGTGCGGTAAGCGGCGCCTGCGTCGGGCCGTAGAACGACGAGGCGTCCGTGGGCGCTCGCTTCTTGGCCAACCGCCGCTCCAGCGCCGTGCTGGCCCGGCGGCGCTCAAACGGAATCGCTGGCAGCTGCGTCTGTAGCGTCAAAAAGAACTTTTCGTGCGCGAGAATCTCGCTGCAGTGGAAGAGGAGCGGGTCGCGCTGGGCGAGCGTGGTCGCAATGACCCTACCGTCGATCGAGGTCAGAGCTGCCACGTGCATGGTGTCGTCGTACAGGGCGTCGCCGTCGCGCATCAACGAGACCATGCTCTCGATGGGAAGGCGCATCGACTTGCGCTTGTGCTGGAAGACGAGGCCATCGGTGCGTACGTCGACCGCCACGCGCCCGACCAGCTCGTCGCTGATGCGCAGTTCCAGCGAAAACATCGAATCGAATTTCGATGCAACCAATCAGCGGCCGGCATGAAATGCCGAAAATAAGGTGTCGGTGTTGGTCGATGTCTATTCGCACGCAAACATGCGCGCACGGCGTCGTGTCAGGCCCGTGAACGCCGTGGTCTTTCGATCTTGAATGACGTAAATCACACAGCATTTGTGGTTTGGTCCATTATATATTATCTATCGGCAGGCGGGCCCAGCACAGATCGAATGCACGTGCGATGGCCGGTTCAAGTTGCGTGCGATTAGAATGCCGAATTGAAACGCGGCCAAACCGTTGCAGCCATGGACGAGGCGTTGCACTTGCACCATGCGCGCGTCGTCGCGCAGTCGGACCTCTCCCGCCATTTGTACGACATGGTCCATCGTAGCCTCTTCGATTTAGTAATATCTCAGATACGATTGCGCTTGTAGCCACGATGCGCCGCCAACGCGGTCCGAGACACTGCTCAGCGACGCTGCCACGTATGTGGAAGCCATCGACGCGCTCTTCCGGGTCGGCAGCTCGCACCAGCACTTTGAGTGTACAACTGCATTCCGATAGCAACAACAGGATCTGGACTCGCATGTAGATCTCTTCTTCCTGTACGCCCAGAGCCACGGCGATGGCATTTCGCGCTCGGAGCTTCTCCAGCTGCTCCAAGAGCACTTGTCGCCTGCCGCGGTGGAGGCCGACGCACGCTTCTTTGAGAAGATCTACACGTATCTCAAGCGCCACTTTACGGCGCCAGTGCTATCGCTCGACGCGACGCTGGCGCTTCTGAACGCGCGGCCGCACATCCTCGCGTCCGTGTGCATTGACAAGGCGCAGCTCCACGCGCGGGTGCAGTCCAGTAACGCTCGCAACCAAGTCCCAAAAGAGTTGCTCGACGCATAATGCATTGTGTGTTTACGCCTAATAGATGTCTCGCTCCAGTTTGGTGCGGTCGAGGCGCTGGCGGGCACGCTTCTGCGCTGTCGCAAACTCGTCGACGTACGCCGCCTCCCGATGATACGGTGGCGGATCGGGATGCAGGACCTCGTCGGTCTCGTTGCCTCGGGTCGGTCTCGCATAGTCGGTCGAAAATGCGGACCGCGGCGCAACGCTCGGGCCGGGGCGGCTCCACATCTTGTACGCTACGATCGCGATCGCGAGCAGGACCAGTAGTGGGAACCGTCCAAGAACGCTGTCCCCAAACCACAAAGTCGAGTCTTTCGTAGCCTATGCATACAGCTTTGCAGGCGCCATCGATCTCGCGAAGGCCGTGTCTTACCTCATGGCGGTGCAGAGACGCTTGATAGGTGTGCACCGCGCGACCGGCGCTCGTGACGAGCAACGCGTCATCGTAAAACTCGCCATTGTAGACACTGGGGACGACCGAGACGTGCATCGCGGCAATCTCTACGGGACGCGTCGGTGTGGCGCCAAGAAGCGTCAGCGACGACGTTGTTTCGAATAGAAAGAGTGCGTCCTTGGACGCTGCGAGTAGAAAGCTCGGGGCGATCGCGCGAAGGCGCAGCGGGCCAGACGCCGACGTTCCGACCCGCGCGATCGCCCGACAGCTCCGCGTGCTGCCGTGGAAAACGTCAAACACAAGAATGTCGCCACTCGTTGTCGCTGCGTACAGGCGGCTCACCACCGATGCGTCAAAGGCAACGCTCGTGATTCGAAAGAGGCCCGCGTCGCACGAGTAGACGGACGATGGACCGTCGCCGAGCTTGAGCAAATGGTGCAAGTCGACGCGCGTCTCGCTGGCGACGGCAATGACGTGGCGATGCGGCAGGAGCGCGGCGATCGGCGCACTGGTTGGCATCGTTTTCAAGTAGCTTGCGTCCACAGGCAGCACGTGAAAGGTGCTTTCGGTGCCGGCGACGAGCAATTTCTGGCCCGGCGCCGACGCCAAGTGCAGCTGCTGCATCGCACCGTGCGTCGCCGTCGCCACGGTTGAGAGCCGCGTGATGTTGACGTGTGCGCTGCCCGAGTCACCCAATATGATTGCGACGCTAAACGTGCTGAGGGATTGGTTGCTGAGGAATGCGTAGAGCAACATCGGGCTCGCATCCGAGTCGACGGTGGCTGCCGTGACAACGACGTTTGGCGCCTCGGGCAGCATGACACTTGCCACGGGTTGTCCGCCCGGCAAGTGCGAGACACCGAGCACACCATTGTCCGTGAGAGTAAGCAATAGCAGCGTCGATCGGTGGAGCTCGACCACGCGGTGCGAATGCAACAAGACCGGCGCCGATGGCAAAATCAAGAGTGGGCGCTCCACGAGCAAGCCAACGCTTGGCTCCGTCGACGGCGCCATCGCTTCACAGCTGCCGGGCGCCTTAAGACGTGCCAAGACCGCTTGCAGCTCGGCTTGCACGTGCGGTAGAAGCGTCGCGTCGCTCGTCAGCGCCCGCCGCAGGCCGTGAAGCAGTGTGAGCTTTTGCTGCTGGCTCGCAAGCTGCGCATCGGTGCGTGCGAGCTCTTCTAGAAGCGCACTGGTCGAGAGGCCGGGTGGCGCGGTTGCAGCAACCAGGACGCAGAGCGCCCACGCGACAGCGGCCCACATGCGTCCCGGGCCCATGGCGCGCGCCCCTTCAAGATCCAAACTGCTTCGTTACAAAGCTGAGACAATCCGAGCATGCAGCAGCACCATGCGCCAGGTCCATGTAGCTCTCCATGACGACGACGGCCGCCGCACCGCCGCGTACAAGGGCTGGGTACCAGACGAGTACGTAGCGCGCAACCTCGTCGTTCAAGTACTTCTGTACTGGAACCTCTTGGGCACGACCGACTTGGCGGCGTGCTCGCTGCTGCCAGTGGCGCCCAACGTGCCGCCGGCGCCGATTCCTCTGACGACACCGCTGGCGCAAATCCCGACGTCCTGCTATTGCCTCGTCGTCGCGCCCGTGCTGGCCATGTCCCGGCGCGTGGCGTCGTCCGAAGCCGACGACGAACGGCGCGTCCGCATGCTCTTCCGCATTCATGCGCTCCAGAACCCATGGGGGCGGGACGGCACGTCAATCAATTGGCAGCAGTTCAAGGCCATGACGCGCTCGATCGCACCGACGCCCGGGCGGCAGACCCAGTGGGACACGGCGCAGATGGTCGCGTTCAAAACGCACGCTCTCCGCGGCGTCGGCCTCGACCTCGACCGGTTCCTGCACGCGTGGGCCTACCTCGGGCAGCACTACCCGCGCTTTGCTTTCCAGCCGTGCACGTCGCTGCAGCAAGTGTATTCGCTCATCGCCAACAACATGGGGCGGCCCAAGCTCGACAGCATCTTGGACCAGTGCGACGACCAGGCGTGGCTGCTTCGGCTCCACGCTGTGCGCAAGCTACTGCAGCGGTACGCCAAAGCCCTCCACTACCTCATCTCTGCCTTCGTGCCCACAATGGAGTCGCCCATCGACTTTGCGGCGCTTCAGGCGTTCTGGGCGGCGCTCCGCTTTGGCCAGCACTTTTTCGTCACGAGCGAAGAGGTGGCGGCGGCCTTTACGGTCGTCGCTGCTTCGTCCACGGCCATGCCCGTCGCCGATAGCGTACGTACCTTGCTGCACTTGGTGCTACTGGCATTGCCGCGGCTCTTGCCCGCGACGCTGCCGCTGGCCTCCAAAGTGAGCATGACAACCGCCCACAAGGACCTCGTCCGCACGCAAACGCTTGACGAGGCGTATCCGGCCGTCGTCGTCAAGCTGCTCGTACAGCATCTCGTCGATCGGTTGACGCCAGCCAACATTGCCGCGCTCTCGCAACGCGTCCACCACGCCATGGCCTTTCGCCGAGGGTCCCATGCGCTGCACCGCGCCTTCTTGTGCATGTGCCAGGCGGACGGCGACTGCGACTACATGGAAGAGGCGCGCCGGAGCTGGCTCCTGGAACGACAAACGAGCCAGCATGCGCTGGTCGAGAAGGCAGCGACTCTTCTGCATAGTGACGATGCATGCGAGAACCCTGCTGTTGACGCGCCGACCGCCGACTCGCTGGCGATGGCCGACGACTTGTACGCCAACATGCTTCCGCAGCTGGCCCGGGACGACGTCGACGCTGCTGTCGAGGCGTGGGCGGCGGCCACCGAGCTCTACGACGCGGCACTCACACGCGCAACGGCCAACGGCATGGACGAGATGCACGCGTCGCTTCTCTTCCGCTTTGGCGCCTCGCTGTCCGTGACGGCGTTTCAAATCGCCAAAGCCCATCCATCGAGGTATATACGCCTACGTTCTCATGGATGTCAGTGCCAGTTTTATACGTAGAGCAAGCTTGGCACTAGAGATTGCACACATGGCCTCCGCCAAACTCCATGCCTACTGGGCGTATCTCTGTCTCAAGTCACCCGACGACGACGACAAGGACGATGACCAAGACTGGATCTACCGCTGTGTGCTCGAATGGGCCAACGCCCTCGCGCTCACGGGCGACCTTCTCGTTTCGACCGCGCCGGACGCCGCCCTTGCAGCGCGCTTGGCGTCGGCGCAATCCGACCTCGGCGAGACGATCGAGCTCTGGAGCGTTCCCGACGACGCGTCTCGGGCCGTGGTCTATTACGAAGCCTGTCGACGCTACGAACTGGCGCTGACGATGCGTCCGTCCGCGATCGTGCACGATAGCTACGCCCATGCCAAGATGCAACTCGTGCTGGCATTGCCGCTAGGTACGTCGAAGCGAATGCGTCAGAGGGTACGACACGGAGGCTAGGATGCCTTGCCAGCCGCTGGATGGTGCCCGATTTGATAGACCAGCGCCAATTGTACCAACAACCCATGACCAGCGACCTCGAGGCGCTTGCCTTTGTGACGGAGGCCTTCAGCATTGAGAGCCCGTCGTCGGCTGGTGGTGGGTCGAGCGATCCAATACCATCTCTCACGGTACTGCGGTCTAGGCGGTTTGGAACCCCTGTACGTGGTTGTCGTCGACTGGATTGTTGCGACGTATGGCGGAGAGTGTCGCGGTCTCTCGCAGTCGAACGTCAACACGGTTAACGGACTCTGCGGCTGCCCGCCCGTGACTGCGAGTACGATGCACTGGCTCTGCGAGACGTTCAATGACACGCCGTCGTCGACATCGCTCTCGTCGACCGGGTTTCAAAAGTACTTGGCCTTTCTAGCGACCGCCAGTGCGTGCATCCGAGATTCCATGTATGTGGATGACGACGACGACGGTGTGTTGTAGGTCCACAGCAGTTCACCTCGACGATGCGACTCCTCGCGTCCCACTACCAGCACCACAAGGCGCCTCTGGTGCGCTTCCAGTCGTTTGGCCACGAGAACCTTACGTGTGCGTAGCCGACTCCAGCCCCGCTGGACATGTCCTTGCCGGCGTCGGCCCCGATGTATGCAACGCATGTCACGGCGAACGTTGCTCGCGCGTTCCTCGTGCTAAGCCTCTCGAGCCCACCTCGCGTCGAGCGCTGCATATATGCGCCAATGGCCGACGACTCGGTGCCCGACCAAATCGCTCGCTTCTGCGCGCCACCCGCCGCGCTTGTCGGCGGCTCGCGCTGCGTCGACACGGTCCTCACAGGTACCTCGAGCATTGTTTGCATTCAACTATATCTCGCGTACACGGGTCTAGATGCGACGGGCGCCGCCATCTACGTGTCCTCGCTCGTCATCGACGACGACGCGTCGACAGCGTATGCGCTCGTGTCTTCGCATCCGTACTTTTACCTCTTCCACACGATCCTGCGCGCGGTGGCCGCCACCCCGATGCTGCCCGAGATGGCGCTTCGGGCGTTCTTGGCCGAGACTCCGTCGTCGGCAGCCGAGTTCCTCGACGCCAGCATCGGTCCGATCCCACAGCCAGCGTCCTTTCTAGCGTCCCAAGTCGATTTTGGTGTGCTCTTCCAAGCGCTCAGCGTCAACCACATCCTCTTGGTGCGTCAATTCCTACCGCGCTGAAGTGCGACGGCGAGTAGGTTGTGCTCTACGTCCTCTCGGAGCGCCACGTCATCGTCTGTTCGAGCAACCCGAGCCTCTTGACCCCGATCTGCGAGACGCTCCGCGCCCTCTTGAGCCCCTTTTCGTCCCAAGCCGTGTACATTCCCGTGCTGCCACACGTACGTTGACGTCATATTATATGACGTGGCACTCGGAGGGGCTTTTAGTCGCTGCTGGATTTTTTACACGCGCCCGTGCCGTACCTCATGGGCGTCGTCACATCCGAGTCGACAGACGCGACGCTGCGCGGTCTCGACGTGGTTGTCGTCAATGTCGATGTCGATGCGATTGCTGTGCCCCGGGGTCGCCACGCCTCCCTACCGACGTTCGTGCTATGCGACAGCATGGATCACTCACGTACACCGGTTGTGCATGTAGTGTGCCCCGGAAGCACCTCCAGCACATGGCGTCCAGCGTCCATACGATCGCAAATCACCACGGGCTACCGCTGCGTAAAGCCACGAGCCCAGATGATTGGCGCGAGGCCCTACTCCGGTACGGCCAAGCCGACGTGCCCCGGTCCATCGAGAGATCGGACGCCGCCTGGTCGGAGCTTCGAGCCGCGTTTACCGCCTTTCATTTGTCGTACGTCCTTTCTGCAAACACCGATGGTCCCATCGCAGTAGGCTCATCCAAGGGTACGAAGCCTATTGTCAGCCCGCGACGGCGAAGGACGACCGCGCGCGCTTTGACGCAGCGGGGTACCTCGAGGCCTTCCCGGACAAGCGCGGGTTTGCTGCACACTTCTTTTGTACGCAGGCCTTTGCGGCGTTTCTCTCATGCACCGCGGGGAGTGAGCCATAAGATGATGTTTGACTGTATTACACCACCTACTGCGTCTTGGCCTTGGCATCGAGCGCTTGGAGCTTGGACTTGAAGAGCGTCGGGAGGAGCGCGAGAAACTGCAAGCTGAAGAGAATGCAAAAGTTGACGACGTTGCTCGAACCAGCCTCGGCGGCGCTGTTGAGCGTCGCGCCCGTCGAGATGTGAATAAAGTTGGCCGGCATGAGCCCGAGAAAGGTCGCGAGCACGAAATGCCCGAACGGGACGTCGACGAGCGGCGACGCGACGTTGACAAACCAGTTGGGCAGAAGCGGCGTGAGGCGCAGGAAGAGGAGGTAGTACAAGAGGTTGCCGCGGTTCGAGGCAATCTAGTACGTCGCATGAGGACGCGAGATACATGTAGAGTTGGAGGTGCGACCTTGTCCTTGAAGTTGGCAATCATGGCCGGGAACGCGCGCTGCACGAGCGAGCGGCCAAGAAAGTGCGAGAGCAGAAAGCAGAGCGACGCGCCGGTCGTCGCGCAGAACGCGACGAGCAGCTGCGCAAAGCCGAACGGGTACAGCGCGCCCGAGAGGATGCTGAGGATGATCGGGCCGGGGATCGCGAACGTCTGCAGCGTCACGTACACGACGACGAAGCTCGCGAGCACAAAATTCGCGTGCGCCTCTTGGTACTGGCTCGCGCAGGCCCAGAGCGCCTGGACGGTCCCGAGCTTGTCGTCGCGGCCGCCCAGCCACGTGGGCAGCACGCCCTGAATGAGGAAGGCAAGAGACATGCCATGACAGGCCTCGATGTCGACGACGGGCGCGTTGCTGAAGAAGACGTAGACGCCGCTGGCCACGGCCGCGGCCAAGAGCACAAGCGCAGCAGTCGACATGGCCTCAGACGTAAAGTTGCGTGTGATAAGTCCATCTGGTGGTTATAACGGTTTCATCGCACGTCGCGTGTTAACTGGAAGATGCGTTGCCTGCTGCAACGCTGTCGCCTTGGGCTTTTGCGCGCAACGAGTGGCGTGATACTAATCGAGGTGTGCATGTGCGATGTTTTTGGACAAGTCGTGTGCAGGCTACGACGGGTGTAAGGCTGACTCGTGCATGCAGCATGATGCTTGCCTACATCAAGGTTGGCAGGAGTGTTATAACACAATTATTTCTGATTGGTCCAAATTGGATTTTCTGGGTTTGGCGCCATTGTCGCAGCAGACCATGCTTCTTCGCCGCTGCCAAGAGCTTGGCCTGCAATGAAGAGCCTTGTCCTGAAGCGCTGGACTCGACGTTGGCTCTCACAACTGCCGTACAGCGCAGTGTAGAAGCGTGCGCCGAGCCGACAGAGACGCTTCTGCAGCTGGAGTGAGCTGGAGTGCGTTTGTACGGTAAATCAACCCACCCAGAGCAGCTGGTCGCGGAGCGACAGCTCTTTTCGACCAAGCAACGCATGCTGCATTTCCCATTTCCCCCGTTCAAGACACAAGAAGAAAATGGCTTGCCAGTGCGGTCCGTCCTGCGCGTGCAACCCGTGCACGTGCGCCACCACGACGCCGTCGTGCCAGTGCGGCGACAACTGCACGTGCGGCCCGTCCTGCGCTTGCACGCCCACGTCGTGTGCGTGCTCGTCCGCCAAGGCCAACCCGAGCTGCTCCTGCAACCCGTGCCAGTGCGGCGACAACTGCCAATGCGGCAAGTAAACTCGTGCTAAAAAGCGCTGGCTTTAATGCATGCGTACACCACCATCGAGTGTCTCTTCTCTGCCGCCGTCTCCTTGGCTGCTACCTACTAGGATATGGACGACGCCCCTTGTTGCAGACAGTAGTCTGGAATTTGCACCTTGTAGCGCACGGCTTAAATGACCACAGTCATGCTGGGACGAAAAGGATATCGCAGAACGAAACGGAGTAGAACGAGCTTAGATCGATGATGCGTCAAGGCTCGCACATGCCTTGTCGATCGGATATACGCATAAGATGCGGAGCCGATGTTGGCGCATGGACGATTGATATTGGAGTGCATAGAACCGACAGTGAGAGAGCGCTCCGTGGCGGCGGTCTTTCCAAGGACAAGTGCCTGAACGAGTTGTCGACACGAGCAATGTCGGCGGGCTTGACCTTCAATGTAGATACTAAACCATCAAGGTGGCCGAGCTACAATAGTAACGTTAGCGCTTGCTTGCCTCAATGGCGTTTGCGCATAGAGGCCGGAGAGGTCAAGACAGTCGCTCCGAAGTCGAGGGATGGACGAGAAGTGCTGCCACTGCCTCGGGGAAGGAGCAGCGGACTCCTAATAAGCGGGAATCGACATGGAAGGGAATATGTAGGTGTCGCGACGTTGCCCAAGCAAAGCAACGTGCGTGTAGGATGATGGCATTCTGCGCATTTGTAGGATCCAGAGAGAGACTTGCTGGTGCATTAAACTCGTGGGCGGTTTGAAGAGCTCGCGTGGCGCTGTGTGACTGTGGTTCGGACGTCGTGCATGCATTTGCCAACACCCGAATGATCAAGCTGCATGGCCAAGGACGACTTAACATTGTAAGCGCTATCCTTTTCGGAGAGATTTACAGTCAAAAATGAAAAGCGTGCGTTGGCGAAGAAATCAAAACAGTTCAAGCAGGCCATAGTACCCACGACACAACAGTACTAGTTACCTTGTAGCTTCACGGGCCTTGTAGCTTCACGGGTGTAGAGCTCCGGACATGGCGTCGTGGCTCTGATCCCGGCAAGCTCCATCTTGGAGTTACATCGGCTTTCGCGCTGATTAGAGAGGCTTCCTTGGACACGTCCGCGGAGGATCGGGCGTGGCATGACGCTAATGCTGATCGGATTGGATCGACGTGGTTGGTGGCGAATTGCCTCGGGTTACAAAGGCAGTGAGCGGTAGCCCTTGCGACCAATTGCGATAATTACATATATTGTCTTTTCTAGCATGCACAAGTGTGTCCTGCGCTGTATCTGCAGGCATGTTCGAGGCGCTTGACGAAACCTTGCGATCGGGTCGTTTGGCCCATGTGATGCGCCAGCCGGTATTAACCGGATCCATCCCACAGTCACCTCGCATGTTGCCCGTATCGTCAGTCCCGGTGGGGGCACCCATCTAGAAATGACTTCATTCGCTCGCCAGCAAGGGAAGAGATGCAATCTCGTACACCGTCTTGACCCGGTACTCTTTGTGATTTTCTTGCCTTTGAAATGAATCGTCATCGTTATGGCGTCTGCTGCGAGCGTTGTCGAGCACATTAGCACCCCACATTTTTATGGGGGCCCTACCAAACGGTAGGGGGACCTCCATTGTCCGGATACGCCAGGTTGAATCTGGGCGGAGGGCTGGGGGATGCCGGGTGTCCCTCGTTCTGATTGGCTAAAATCCCTTTTCATACCTGCTGGGATGTGAAAGCCGCCGGCCACAGCATTTGAGAATTCCCTCGGTATGTGGCGATCCACGGTCCCCCGCAGCTTGGCCCTGACGCGCGCCATGAGCGTGACCCGCCGGGTCCAAAAGCCGCTGCCGGAAGCATGGGCCAAGGCCGCGACGAAGGAGCTCAAGGGCAAGGACCCGATGGAGACGCTCCTCTGGAAGACGCCCGAGGGCATCAACATCAAGCCGCTGTACACCAAGGACGACATGGAGGTACGACACGACGATCGTAGCTTGCAACGACGATCACATGCATATGCAGGACTTGGATCCGGCGCAACTTCCCGGCGCCTTTCCCTTCACGCGTGGCCCATATGCGTCCATGTACACGGCCAAGCCCTGGACCGTGCGGCAGTACGCTGGTTTCAGTACCGCCGAGGAGTCGAACGCGTTCTACCACAAGAACTTGAAGGCAGGTCAGCAAGGTTTGTCGGTCGCCTTTGATCTGGCTACGCATCGTGGCTACGATTCGGACCACCCGCGCGTGCAGGGCGACGTCGGTATGGCCGGTGTCCCGATCGACTCGGTCGAAGACATGAAGATCTTGTTCAACGGCATCCCGCTCGACAAGATGTCCGTCTCGATGACCATGAACGGCGCTGCGTTGCCAATTCTGGCCATGTACATCGTGGCCGCGGAAGAGCAAGGCGTCGACCAGAAGCTTCTCGCCGGCACGATCCAAGTATGCATGCCTTGTCTCTCATGTCATGGTAGCTCATAATCTCTGGTTGTAGAACGATATCCTCAAAGAGTTCATGGTGCGTAACACGTTCATCTACCCGCCGCAGCCGTCGATGCGCATCATCCAAGTACACAGCTCTGTCCAATGGCGACGTGTCATCTCATCTGGTCGCAACACAGGATATCTTTGGCTACACGTCCGTGTACATGCCCAAGTACAACTCGATCTCGATTTCGGGCTACCACATGCAAGAAGCCGGCGCCGACGCCAAGCTCGAGTTGGCGTTTACGATTGCCGATGGTATCGAGTATGCGCGTGCTGCTGTCGCTGCTGGTCTCGACGTCGACATGGTCGCACCCCGTCTTTCGTTCTTCTTTGCGATTGGCATGAACTTCTACATGGAGGTACGCATGCTTTTATCGCGAAATGATGCTTATTCGACGACGTAGGTGGCCAAGCTCCGTGCGGCGCGCAAGCTGTGGGCCATTCTCGTGGAAGAAAAGTTCAAGCCCAAGAACCCCAAGAGTCTCTTGCTCCGCACGCATTGCCAAGTACGTTTTTGTATTCTGGTGTGGCTTTAGCAGCTCATTCGGCGTGTACAGACGTCCGGCTACTCGCTTACCGAACAAGACCCGTACAACAACATCATCCGCACGACCGTCGAAGCGATGGCTGCCGTCATGGGTGCGCTTCCTCGCCCAGTTTCGTCTGTGCTAACAGTGGTCGTTATTAGGTGGAACGCAAAGTCTGCACACGAACGCACTCGACGAAGCGCTCGGGTTGCCGACCGAGTTCAGTGCGCGTATGGCCCGTAACACGCAGCTCATCCTCCAGGAAGAGACGGGTATTCCCAAGGTCGCTGACCCGTGGGGCGGCTCGTATTTGATGGAGAACCTCACACAAGAGCTCGTCGACTCGGCGCTCGAGATCATCCAAGAGGTACCCTGCACGTTAGCTTCGTCGCTCATGCCATGAATGTAGGTCGAAGACTTGGGCGGTATGGCCAAGGCGATCGAGTCGGGCATGGCCAAGCTCCGCATCGAGGAGAGTGCGACAAAGAAGCAGGCGCGCGTCGACTCGCGCGAAGACGTCATTGTCGGTGTCAACAAGTATCGCCTCGCGAACGAGGACCGCGTCGACGTGCTTTCGATCGACAACAACAAAGTGCGCGAGTCGCAGATCAACCGGATCAACACGACCAAGGCGAACCGCAACGAAGCGGAGGCCCAAGAGTGCCTCAAGCGCCTCATCTACTCGGCCAAGCTCACCGAGTCGACGGGTCCCGGCCTGCACGAATACAATTTGCTCAAGCTCGCCGTCGCTGCCTCGCGCGCGCGGTGCACAGTCGGCGAAATCTCCGATGCTCTCGAGTCGGTCTGGGGTCGCCACGTGCCCAAGGTACGACTGCATTGATGAATTGGAGCAACAAGACTTACGCGATGTGATCTCGTAGAGCTCGGTCGTGCAGGGTGCGTACCGCGATACGTACATGGCCAGTGAAGCCGAAGCTGAGTACACGACGGTATTGGCCGAGGTGGATGCGTTTGCCGAAGACCAAGGTCGTCGGCCGCGTCTTCTTGTGGCCAAGATGGGCCAGGACGGACATGACCGTGGTGCCAAGGTGATTGCGTCGGGCTTCTCGGACCTTGGTTTCGATGTCGATGTCGGTCCTCTCTTCTCGGTACAAGGCTTCTATCAACCAATTCGTGCTAATATACCGATGCTCATGTAGACGCCGGAAGAAGTCGCGCGCCAAGCAATTGATTCGGATGTGCACTGTGTTGGTGTGAGCTCGCAGGCCGCTGGGCACAACACGCTCGTGCCGGCGCTCATGAAGGCACTCAAGGACCAAGGCGCAGAGCACATTTTGGTCATCTGCGGTGGCGTGATCCCGCCCAAGGACTATGATTTTTTGTACGAGCAAGGTGTCGGCGCCATCTTTGGGCCTGGCACGCGCCTCCCGACGGCCGCCAGCGACACGCTGAAAGCCATCTACAAGAAGCTGGCCCAAAACGCGGCGCAGGATTAGATATGCTGATGGTGCGCAATAATGTATCGATCTTGGTGTTTACTACGAACCTCCTCAACGACGACCCCTTCCCGTCTTTCCAGACAAGACGTCGCGAACCAGTGCGCAACGAGCCTGGAGCAGATCGAGGCGCTCTGGGTGTTTTGCCCCCGGAATTTGTGTCTAGTGCTCAAACATAAACAAAAAGTGCGTTCTGTGAGCTTGGAGCCAAGCCTGCAGGTTTGCAGACGCCATATCGATCTGGGCTCGCCGTCATGCGATCGATCGAGTTCATGGAGCTTTTCAACGCTTGTAATAAGCTCTGTGATACACCATTCTCTTGTTCCAGCGTATCATCACCACCTGAAACCACGGCAGAAGATTTGCGAGCCCTCCTACCATGGACGCGGCCAAGGTCTCGAGGTCGAGCGCGACGCTGCGATCCACGTGCACAGCTAGTAGCACCGTCAAGGTGTTTGCTCTGATTCTCGTCGTGACAGCCCTGGCGTTTGGTGTGCGCTCCGTCGTCATGGCCCACACCCACGTCATCACCGCGCTCACCGACTGGGTCGAAGTACGTACACCTTCCCGTGGCACTTGGACGAATCGAATCTTCGCGGTGTAGAGCCACCGCGACATCGGCGGCTTTGTCTGCGTCCTCGCACTCTGGATCTCGGTGCTCGCGGGCGTACCCTGCACGCTCCTCGAGACCTTTTCCGGCGTGTACTTTGGCTTTGGCTTCGCAATCCTCATCAACACGGCGGGCACGGTCCTCGGATCAGCGCTTGCGTTTGGCGTCGCGCGAGCATGCGGCGAGCGCCTCGGCGCCCACCTCATGGCCAAGTACCCACTCGTCCTTGCGCTGCACCACCTTTTCGAGTCCCGTGAGACCAACTACCGCCTTTTGTTCTGCATCCAGCTCGCGTACGTGCCGGTGACGCTCAAGTGCTACAGCCTCAGCGTCCTCGGTGTCCCTTTTGGACCCTTCCTGCTCTCCAATTTCGTGTGCGGTCTCCCGCTGGGTGTGTTCTGGGCCTACGTCGGCAGTGTCTCTGGCAACATCAAAGACGTCCTGGCCGGCGATGGCTCCCTGTCCACCGATCACATCGTTGTTCTGATCGTAAGCCTTGTCGGTAGCA